AAATCAAATGTTTAATGCTGATACTGCTCATGCAATCAGGACATCGACCAATGGTAGTAATTAAAGATACAAATAATTCACTGTTAATAATAAAGTTACAATCGAATGCAGTGAGAGGAGATGAAGAATTGTCTTTCGATTTTAAAGTTATATCTAACTTCTCTGCAGAAGCCGATTTATTTACAACTTTTTTTGTAACATTTGATGCTGTATTACCATCATTTCTTGTAATTTTTCCTATAAAAACCTTTCTTTTGTTACCTTTAGAGGACCTATACCTGCTTGAAGAACCCATTTGTAAATAAAAACACTAATAAATCTTTAATTATAACTCATTTTAAACTGAAGGAAGCATTGACAAAAGTTAACTACCGTCCTTCAGGAGCTCTACTTTGAGAACAATTCTTGTGGTTTCAACGTACAGCTAATAGCTTCTAAAAATATTAAAGGAGAAGTCTAACGTCTTGAGCATTGTTTAGAAAAATTTGATGTTAATCGCTTTTTTGGTTTAGGAGATATTGAAGAAAAAGCGTTGCTAAGGTCGTTGCTATGAAGCCGGAACCAAACTGCTTTTCAAAAAAGGGCAAATTTGATGAAAATATAGAATATTTTCAACTTTTTGAAAAATGTATAATGAAATAGGTAGATTTAAGAATTCAAAACATTCATTTTCGTATTTTTCAAAATTTTACCAAAAATAGCTCTTTTTTTACCCTGGTACCACCTTAATATACGGTTGAAGTCCGTAATTTAAAGTTACGGAACTTCTCCGTATCATAAATACGGTCAAAATCCCATAAAAATATGTGATTATTTCAAAAGTCTTAAAAGTATAGGTAAAGACCGTAATTTATTAAAAACAGATTTTTTCCGTAACAAAACAACGGAAAAAGTCTGATAAATACTACGGAGTTTTTTTACAGTGCAGGCAATATTTGCATAATTTATATGCCAATGGATTAAAAAGAAATATAATTGTGTTAAACTGTGTTTATTTAAAGCATTTTTAGCTGAGTACATTACTCCTATATTTTCGAACAACTTTGTTGTTCAACAAATCGATGTGACATTTCCAACTAAGGTTTTCATCAATATAGAATCCTAAAAAATTAGTATTTAGTTCTCTTTTTATTTGAATTTTGTCAATAAAAAGTAAGGGCATAACAGGAGGCAGTAGCTTTTTGTTTTGAAGTTTGATGAAAAAGTATTTAACTAGTTTACTCAACATTTAGTGACAGCTTATACATTTTAAACCAGTCAGAAACTTTTGTTAGTTAAATGTTCATATTTTGGAATAATGTAATTATGTTGTTATGAGATAAAAAGAGATTATTATGATTGGCAAACATGACCATCATTAAATTTGAGGCTTTAGGGAGATCATTAATGTAAATTAGAGGCTTTAGGGAGATCATTAATGTAAATTAGAAAGAGAAGAGGTCTTAGTATAGAACCTTGAGGTATCCCACATGTTATATAACCTTGAAGATTAATCTAATAAACTGAATCTAATAAATTGGATTGAATCTAATAAATTGTTTAGCGACCAAGATTTTAAATGGTAAAGATATTTTTGAAGTTTTTGAAGCCTGCAACTAAGTACAACTCGATCCGATTTCTTGGGATTCGATGTTTATCTTTTACTCTTTAGTCCATTTAAAAAATGTAGTTTTTATTATGATTTGAGTAGGATACTACTGGACTACCAAGCGAAAAGCAGAGCGATAAAGAATATCTACAGCGTAGGCTGTAAACTGGTTTAATGTCTTGTCTGACAAAAAGGGGTGAGCTCAATGGATGTATTGCATAACTATGTGGGAAGACTTAAAAAAACAAAAAGCTGTTATGTCAACTTTACCGCGGCGCTCTTCGCTCCAATTGCCCCTCTCCCTTAAGGACGGCCCTGATAACAATCTATTGTAGCAACCTAAGCTAAGAAATTTTTTCTTTTATATAAATAACTTACGGGCAATTAGAATATAAAAACAGAAAATGTGTGGAATATATTATAGTAGACAAAGCTCTTTGCAGCCCTGCAATCTTTTCAAATCTTGTCAAATAACATTTGACAAGATTTGAAACAGCCCTGCAATCTTTCAAAATCTTGTCAAATAACATTTCATAAATACACTGGTCTGACTAAACAGCTGAAACGGTTTCAATGTTGAGTAGTACTTTACTGTTGCACATGTTTAGCATTATCATTTTTTTAAGTCATATTTTTTTTTGTCGTTAAAAAGGTTAGGTCAGACATCAACAGAAAAAAATTATATCAGTGGTAATGATAGTATATTCAAAAATTGCAACAAAATTTTATTTGTAAAATAAGTGAAAAGTCTGCAGTTTAATACTTTAATAATTTAATGCAATTTAATACTTTATGGCATGTAGAGAGGCGCGCAGTTGCACGTCGTTCTTGAGAAAGCAAGTATTATATCAAATTTTTTTAATATAAAACTTAGGATTCCTTTAAAATATTTTTATTTGCCGACGTGAGACCATATTTTGACTTTGTTGTTCAAGTATGGAACCTGAACTTAAAAAAAAAATACATCAATTAACTCAAAAATGCGCAGAGATATGCAAATGAGTTAATACCTTAAATCGGACATTTGCCGTGCAAAAAAAGATATATCAAATTGAATTCAACAGCAACAATCAAAATTAAACTAAGTAAGCTTAGTGAACTAATTCAGTTATATAAATGTTTTCATCAACTTGAATCATTCAAATTTGTGAATGATTTTTGATAAACCGAAATCAACTACAGAACCGTCCCGAACGGGGGGTGTAGGGAGGGACACTCCCTACACCCCCCTTCCCCCAAAGCTATTAAATATGAATTGAGTTAGCACATTCATACATTTAGCATTTCAGTTGGTAAGTTTGAAAGTATAGATAGCAAATTTCAAATATGGAAGACCTTCTTTTTAGGTCTCTAGTTGGCAAAAAACACATACAACACCCCCTCTCCCCCATGAGAGACCTCTTCGGGACGGCCCTGATCAACTATCCCTATTTTTTCAAAAATCGTAGCACAAGAAAAATATTGTTGTAAAATTTGGCGCTACATATATTTGGTGCTATATATAAAACAAACTTCATTATGCTGTACTGCATGCACTTACTTCTTGTTAACTTTTGTACATTTGGGTTTTTTGGAGTTTTTATTAAAAAGTTTTGTTTGTCTAAAATAGAATGAAGAACTTTGTAGTTTGTAAAAGCGGGTATTTATAACGTTAATTTTTTTAAAAACAAACCGTAAGAAATAATACTGCTAAAGATGCTTCAAGCCTTAAAGATATATGGAGCACATCAGAGCTTCTGAGACATTAACTCTTTCTGCTAAGTCCTTAACTTAACAACGAAAAAGGTTTGAATTGAAACTTAAGATTTTGATTTCATCATCATTTTTAAGCGTCTTCTAAGGTAAATTTGATTTGATTTTTTTTTGGAATTTGATATATTATTAGTCAGCAAATAAATGGTGAAATGATGTTATTAATTGATTTTTTTTTTTTTTTTTTTTTGTTCTTTTCTTGAATATTCAATATAGTTATACAATAAGATAGTTGAGATAAAAATCGTTATACAATAAAAGAAAATATATACAAAAAAGAAAGAATTAAACTAAGGGGTCGTCCATAAAGTACGTACGCTCATAGTGGGTAGGAAGGAGGTCTTCAAAAAGCGTACGAAAGCGTATGGGGGAGGGGGGGGGGGGAGAGCTCATTTTAAAAGTACGTACTTCGAATTTCTAATTTTACACAATTAACCAGCTAATCAGTAGAAAAGTTAAAATTCTTACTAAAGATCCTAGTTTGCCAACACAAAAAGATGAACTGTAAAGGGAGTAGAAGGTAAAGTTTCTCTCTATGCACACACAGGCATGGGCGCCCGCAAGATTTTTTGATATTCCAGATAAACCACTTCCACACATTGTGCAAACTACAAAATTAAGTATGTTTATACTTATGCCATTTGAAGAGGTCATTTTGTAATTTACAATATTTTTCAACGAAATTTAAATTCTGTCGATAAATTTGAATTTAAATTTAGATCGTTAAGTTAAAAATTTTACTACAGTAAGTGCCCTCATGTTTGAGCAGGGGGGCAAGCGTTTCAGGGCTATTTGTTGACAGCCCTCCACCCTACCAAATTTTTACAAGGTCTCCTCATTTGGCATAGGTATAAACATACTTAAGTTTGGAGTTTGTACAATGTGTGAAAGTGTCCTATCTGAAACATTAAAAAATCCTGCAGGCGCCCATGTCACCCCTTATATACTGGCCCTGAGTATACTCAGGGCTAGTATATAAGAAGTGGCATGTGTGCATGCATGTGCAAAAAATAGGTTACCCATTTTTTGTCAAATTTCAGAATTTTTAGCGTACTCTTTTTACGATTAATCAATAATAGAAAATTGTAAAGTTTTTTCGTCAACTTTTCTCTTCTGACGCTCTATAATTGATTTACTAATGAATAAATAAGCATAAAATTGCTTTAATGATGAGTTTGTCACTGTAAACCGTAGTGACCACCAATATATATTGTTCCCTAGGTTTTCCTTTTTGAGTATTTATCTATACATTAGTATACATTATTTATGACATTAGAATTTCTTAGCGGTTGGGCCAAGTAAAAAATTATGTTACTCAAAGATATTTATTCTGAACCATGAAAATGTTAATAAAATTCAATGGAAACTCAGTTGAAAATTCGCGAAATTATTATATTGGACTATTTATATAAAACGTGTGCTATTTGTCTAACATAGTTCGGTAAAAAGTCAACTTAAATTCAAAAGGTTACTCTCGTAAATTATTATAGTATTTGCTCCTTTATTATAATTATTTTTGAAACTTAAAAACATTTTGAAAAGAATGCCAAATTTATTTCTCATATATTATTTACATTTCCGATTATAAAAATAAATATTAATAAAAAAATTTTAACAGCAAAAATAAAAAAATAAATATATCAAACAAAAAAGTATATATTAGTAAAATTACCAAAAACCTCTTATATAAAATTTCGCTTTAAATTCTTTTAAAAAACATTTTGAAAAATATACATTTAAAAAAAAATATACATTTCTATGTAAGAAGGCATACCATTTAATCTAACTTTACGTCGAAAAGCGCAATATAAACCCTAATTTAAAGTTACGACTTAAATTGCGCTTTTCTACGTTAATCAAACGGTTGAATTAGCCAATATATGTGCTATAATTTATACTAAAATAAAATATCTAAAAGGATAGCCGAGTTTATTATATAAGGTTGTTGTCGCAGTTGTTTATAGTTCTTGGAAAGGAAACAAATCATTTGATTCACTCATAAGCAGTTCAAGTTGTCGAAGAAACGTCATCTATAAATAAAAATCATAACTTAATAGCATAAAATTTATTCCGTTATGCAGAATAACAATAGCAATAAGTCGTTCCGAAAACAAGGGGCAGTTTCCACTCATTGGGAACGGGATAGGAAAAGGAAAAATAATCACGTGAGCATGCGTAGTTTTTTTCTTTGGACATATTAAAACTTATACGCATGCCCACGTGATTATTTTTCCCGTCCCTTTTCCGTTCCCGTGAAAAAACGGATGAGTGGAAACTCGCCTTTACAGTGTAGGTCTTGAACCACACGGGATTAGTAAAAAAAATTTGATTTTTTTTTTTTTTGCGCCAAATGATTTGGAAGTTTTTTTATTTCCCTTCTTTTGACAAAACAGGGCTAACCAATATAGTGTTATTTAAAAAAATTATTTATTAACATAAATATTAATCATAAAGCTATTTTTAGCGCGAGGAACATAAACTAAACCAGAAGCTTCATTATAAACTTTCTAACAACATTAAAAATAGCATTTCTAATGGAAATATAATTTTTTAAATTATCACTATATTTTTAAATATAAAATATAATTTTTGTTCCAAATCTGGGTAATTGAATTTATACTCAAACTGCATCTTATATTGATTCAACCTCTTGGATTGATAAGGGAATTTAATCTATAATATACACTGCCGCTCATGGAAGTTAGGACACTTAAAATACTTTTGTAAAACGAATAAAACAAACATCGTAGTTTATTTTTACATTTAAAGTTCATTTATTTTATGTTTATTGTAATATTTTTAACATAATAAATAAATTTCATAACATTAAATTTAAAACAATATATATTAATAAATTAAAACCTTTTTTTCGTGAAAAAAAACACATTCTGCTTTTATCACTGCCATTACTACTCTTAATTCAATTCATATATATTCTGAAATAGTTGTTACATTCACGGAAGTTTACAAATAGTACATGTACTAATCTTAAGTAAAAAACATGTAAATAAAAGCTAATAAATATATTGATTAATGCAAATAGTAATATTAATCATCCACAGCAGTAACAAAACGAACATTAAAAGTTGAAGGAGTAAAAATACTAATAAAGATAATAATAAAAGTTGTAGTTGTAACAGTAATAACAATACAATGATAAAAGTACAGTGATTATAATAAAAATAAAATGACAGAAATAAAAATAATTACAATAATCATAAAAAAAAAATACTAGTATTTTAGTATTATCCACATAAATGCACACACATACAGACACATACAAATACACACATACAAACATACATACAAACTTACGTTCACAAATACATATAAACACATATACTTATATCCTTCTGTATTCAATACAGGTATGTATACATTAATTGTATACAAACATAATATACACCCATATATGTAGATTCGTATATACAATACACAAATAAACGTATATACACACACGTACATATACATACACATTTACATATACACACATACATACACATATACAAACATAGCATAACATAACACACATACATACACATATACAAACATGAATACATATACACACATTTAATAATATTATATATGTATATATTATATACACCAACACATATTCGCATACACACACACACACTCACACACATATATATACACATACACACATATATATATACATACATATACACTCACCACTTATTCACATGTGTGTATCACAAACACTTAAACACAAATACATATCTTTGGATTTATTTGATTAGGAAAGAATGGAATAGGTTACTCTTAAAAATATAGATTAAATGGAGAGCTTTTAGGTCATAGGGAAGGTTATTCCAAGATTTTATACTTTGGTTTTTTATGGACTTATATCCATAAGTAACAGAACGATGTTTTAAGACTACAAGATTCAGATTATCAATTAATCGAAGATAGTAACGGTTATTTGCTTTTTTTGGGAAGAAATTGTTGAAGGTAAGAGGTAGGTTTTTGTGTTGGTGATTCCAGACAAACTGGCAATTCAAGAATTGAACAAGGTCACATAGTTTAAGGATCTTAGAAGTAAGATAAAGCACATTAGGATTGAATTTGTAATTCTGAAAATGTATTATTTTTAAAGCTTTGTTTTGAAGATGTGATCCTTAAAACTGTTTGCTGTTGAGATTGTCCCCATATTTGACAAGCATATCGTATTTGTGAGCCAAAAGTGGCATGATATATATTTAATAATTTCCAGATTGACATAATGGCGAACTTTTGCCAGCATTCCATTTGATCTGCTCAATTTTATGGCTAAGTCTTTAAGATGGGATACAAATGATAGGTTGGAAAATACATAACATTATCTTTTTACAGGAATGATTTTCTGGCCACTTTATCTAAAGTTTAAATTTTTATTGATTTTTGTTTTATTAGATTTGAATATGACCAGTTCAGTTTTGCTACAGTTGAGAGAAAGCTTATTTGAGCGAAGCCACTGAACTAAATTGGCAAGATCATGATTAATGTATTTGTTAATTTTTTTTAAAGATTTGTTGATAATGAGCAAGTTAGTATCATCAGCAAAGTGATAAGGAGTTGCAAACTTAATTGAGTTATTAAGGTCATTAATATAGAGAAGAAAAAGTAGTGGTCCTAATACTGAGCCTTGAGGGACACCATTGGAACAACTTATTTGAGTAGATTTTGAGTCATTGACTGAGACAAATTGAGATCTGTTGTGAAGATATGAAGTAAACCATTTAAGAGGTATTCCTCTGATTCCATAATATTCCAATTTCTTGAGTAGGATAGAATGATCTACTGTATCAAAAGCTTTTTGTAGATCTACAAAGACACCACATGCAAAGTTTTTATTGTCAAGAGCTTTTCTAATAGACTCAGTAATTTTAATAAGTGAGTGGGTTGTGGAATGATTAGCACGAAACCCATACTGGTGTTTGTAAAGGCATTTAAATTTATTTAAAAATGCATAGAGCCTCTTATACATAGCTTTTTCAAAGAGTTTACTTAGGTTTGAAAGAAGAGATATAGGACGGTAGTTGCACATATCCAATGTAGAACCTTTTTTAAATATCGGAATGACTTAAGCAACTTTAAAAGCATCCTGGAATAAACCATTTTGAAATGAGTTATTTATAATAACACTAAGAGGTTTAGAAATTATGTCTGGAATAAGTTTAAGAAGGAATGAAGGAAGGCTATTAGGACCAAAGCTTTTTCCAATTCTAAGGGTGGTTTTAATAAGATTAGAGATTTCATTCTCTGTGACAGGATCAATAAAAAACGATTTATAATTTGGAGAGTTGATATAGTCAGTAAATTTGGATGTTGAAGGTATGATTTTTTTTTTGGAGTTTGTTTTGGATAGTAACAAAAAAGTTGTTTAACATATTCAATACAGTAGTTTGATCTGTGATAATATTTTCTTTCAATTTAAGATTGAGAGTTGAATTATAGAAGGAAGGTTTTATATTAATGACTTCTTTTATCCCTTAACATTCTTTTAAATAATTTTTGAATTGTTGCTATGCTCTATTATTCCATTCTTTTTCTAGAATGTTCTATTATTAGATTTTTGATATTGGACATTCAATTCTTACTTTTTTCTTTAGTTCATCCCATAATAACTCAATAGGGTTAAGGTTTGGACTTGGAGGCCAGGTCGTATCACGTAACAAATTTTCATTCTTTTTTGACTCTTAATAATTTTTACATATAAATGAAGTATGTTTAGGGTCATTATAGTGCATCAGAATAAAATAGATTAATCGAAGTCCAGAAAGATTCTCTGTAATGTTCTTTTCTCATAATGCCACAAATTTTATGCAAATCTAACACTCCATCCAGAGAAAAATAACACCAAACTATTACAGAGCCTCTACCATGTTTAATTGTTGGAACAAGACATTGACTTAACTTTTTTTCTTCAGCAGACCTTCTACATAAACTCTTCTCTTATTTCTGAAAGCTTCATATTTTGATTTATCTGTTCAGAGTACTTGTTTTCAATCATATATGATCCAATTTTTGTCCATTGCAATTTCTTTTGCTAATTACCTTTTTGCAAACATGGATTTCAAACAACAACACGACCATGCAAAATTGCTTCTTGTAGTCGTTGTTTGATTGTACTAACAGAGTTTTTTTAACCATGGTTGAAAATAGCTGATACCTCTGGAGCAGTTAACAACCAGTTGCGCTTACTGATGTTTTTTATTTGTCAGTCATCAGTATTTGTTGTTATACGAGAAGGACCAGTTTGATTTCTATCTTCAAATCTTCCAGTTTTTTCGTGTAGACGAATTGTGTAATTAACCGTCAGATTAAATTTTTTCCTTTTTTTATAACAGCATATCCTTCTTAAAACAAAGTACTCGTGCACCTTTTTAGACATTTTTTGTTATAATTTTGAATTTACACTGAAAATAATAAAAAAGTAACCTTTGAAAGCTTACTTGCAAATTAGCTTTTTTCCACTCTAAAAAAATTCCTGGAATAATATTCTTTACAAGCTGATCTACAGTATAATCTCTGTAATCTTTTCCACTAATCTCCCTTAAATATAAGCCATACATATCTCTGGATATCTTTGGAAGTTTGGAGTTCTCAAGTAAAAAGTTCTCCTCAGAAGTTAGTCAACTTGTTAGCTTAGTAATCAAGTTACTAAGCTAACAAGTTGACTTACTTCTGGTTTTAGTGATATACAACATCTTTATATTAAATTTTTTAAAAAAAGATTCCAAAAATTGTTTATTTTACTTTAGTTACAATAGAAGAATAAGTCAGTCTCTTTACTAATATAATATTGCTCTATTTTTTAAAAACATTGAACCATCTTTCTGTAGAAAAAATTAATTTTATTTATAAATATTTTATATATATATATATATATATATATATATATATATATATATATATATATATATATATATATATATATCCTTATCTTGTAGTCGAAATGGAATTTTAATGTAAAAAAGTCTCTTTTGACAACAATTTTGCTACCTCAGCAATTAAGCTACATTTTATTGTCGTCAAAATCTCAAAGCATAATTAATGGGGAAGTACATTAATTTTTGTCATCTTTTTAAAAAACCACAATAATAATGAATAGAAAGTTTTTTTTAATTGTGTTTTAATTTTTGTTTTATTAAAATATATTTTTAAAACATTGGGTGTTGCTACATCGACTATCTTATAGCCTGCTGCTACATCAAATATCTTATAGCCTGACTTGCAAGGGAGTGCCGCTACATCGACTGAGGGTTTGGTTAGGGTAGGCAGTCTATCATTTTAGAAGAAAAAAAAAATTATTCAATTTTTTTAAACTTTTTCTGGTCTGGTTTATTAGTGCTCTCTTTAAAACTAAAGTTTATAGGAAAATTTTTTCGACTACCACGCAAGACTATATATATATATATATATATATATATATATATATAAATATAAATATATATATATATATATAAATATAAATATATATAAATATATATATATATATATACATATATATATACATATATATATATATATACATATATATATACATATATATATATATATATATATATATATATATATATGTATATATATATATATATATATATATATATATATATATATATATATATATATATATATATATATATATATATATATATATATATATATATATATATGTAATATATATACATACATATATACACATATATACATACATATATAGATGCATATATATATACATATACTCATGTATGCAGATAAGGTTTTGAAAAGGTATTAAAATTTAATAACAAAGTATTATAAATTGTAGATTTTTCAACTTGTAAAACACACAGTTAATAATAAACAAGTTTAATTCATCATTCTTATATAATCCAAAAAAATATAAACATAAAAAAGAAGAGTGTAAATTTGATTTAGTAAAATATAATTCTTGTTTACACGTAATTTGCTAAACTAAATTTTGAAATGCACAATTTTGCACACAGAGTTAAGTTTTAGTTTGCTAAATGGTTTGGTAAACAAATGCGATCTTCTTCAGAGTCCAAAAAAGTAATAGTTTAAGGAAGAAAAAAAGAAAGCTTAAAATAAATTTTTTTCAAAAAAAAATTATTTTAATGTTTTGCATACTGATTTACACAAATAATAATAATAAAAAAATACTAGCCATCATCAAATTTGAAAAAAAGTGAAAATGGACATACCCTGATACACCATTTAAAATTTTAAAAAGTTAATAAATATGCTTATTATAAAAAACAAAACAAAAATTTTTTCCTTCATTTATCATGTAAGCAACAAGGTAATCACAAAAGAAATTTTTCATTTTTCATTTGTAATTGATACTTCATTTTGCAAAGCATTTTTTTAAATGTAACTAAAAGCTAAAATCTAAATTCAAAAAGACATGTGACACACAAATGTGGTCTAAAATATTATATCTACTTTGTACATTTTGAAAACAATAAATAAATTAAAAAAAATAATAATGAGATAAAGGAAAATTGTATTGCATGTTTATTTTGCAAAATAATTATTTATTATGTAGCACCCTTTTTGTACACACATCTGAGGTTTTACATTTAGCTATATTTTTTAAAGTGTATTTGGTCTACAAATTGTGCAGAATAAAAAAATATGAGTAACTTTAAAATATTGTGTTCTTTTTGAAATACAATTTTAATAAAATTGAAAACAAAAAAATCTGCTTACCAGTCTTTCCATTTCTGTCATTGCTGTAATAATAATAAAAAAATATATATAAATATATATATATATATATATATATATATATATATATATATATATATATATATATATATATATATATATATATATAATATATATATCTGTGTGTGTGTGTCAAATACTTGATAAAAACCTGAATGCTTACAAACAGTATAAAAAAAAGTTAAAAAAAAAAATAATCAAAAAAACAAACAAACTATAACTCAAATAAAATAAAATAATCAAAAAACAAATTTTTTTTGTACAAAAAAAGTTCTTTATCTAGATTGTACCCATTAAATTTAAAGTATTAATGACTTTTAGAAAATAAAAAAACATGAAACTTCAAATAAAAAAAATATTTTTAAATTCTTTTGCTACTAACGTATTGTTATTTGTTTTTTTACTCCACAAAAAGATAACTCAAGTATATTTCTTACATGTTTCACTTAACTGAAAATTATTTTTATAACCAACATCCTCCATTCTAATTTTTATAAACTTTAGCTTGCTTTTTTCACATGACCATGGATATGTCTTCAAAATCATTTCTAATGGATCTATCCACTCATTTGTACGCTCACCATACTTTTTAATGCCATTTCTAACAGTTTGTATAAAATAAGGGCAAATTGAGTAGTTCCACAAGTCCACAAACCATTCTTCAGCATTTAGAATATCAGATGGACATGGAAAAAACATAGTAGGTCCTACCAAAAAATAAAGATTTAAATTTAATAAATTCAAAGTACTAATGACCAAAAGTTTAGCATAAAATAAAAAAAATAAAAATATGTATAATAAAAATAAAAATGAGGGATGAAAATAGTTAACAAAATATTAAATTGCAAAACACAACTTTTGGCTTAAAAAGAAATGTTAAATTTGTATTATAACTAATGTTTTTATGGAAGAGAATTTTATCACCTTTTAGTATGCCACTGTTTATCTGATACTTGAAAAACTTGGTTTAGATATATTATAAAAACAATCAACAATATTTACCAATAGTGTACTCTGAAGAAGAAAATTTTTCAATTATAGAGTTAATGTGTCTCCATGCACTTGCAAGCCAATCAACAATACGAAAAAATTCTCTCTGAAGATGAAAGTTTCCATATTGAATATATTTTCTTCTTAAATATCGCTGCAACAGACAATCGACAGGCTCTTCATGGTTTGGTAACCATATCCATCTAAAAACACAGAGATTTACAAAAAATCCAAGTAAATGCATGTTTCATGAAGCTAAAATAATAGTCTATTTTTGAAAATTAATCTTCTAGAGGCTCCAGAGAACACTCAGCTCACAATTAAGAGATTCAAGGTCCTATCCTGTGCTTCTGAAAGTATTGCACTCAATCTTTCTCTCTATACAGCAGCCATGATTAAACAGCCTTGATTAACAAGGTTTTTGTTTTGGTGTTGCAAATAATAAAAATAAAATTAAAACATCTAAAAATAAACCCTCATCTTTATTATTTAGATTACTCTCTCAACTCTAAACTCTGAAACCTTGTTAAACAAGGCTGCTGCATGGAAAATCAGGTTAAAAAACTTTCAAAGATTTGAGTGCATTTGGACTTCAAATCTCTTGATTGTGGGCTAAGTGTTCTACCACTAGCCTACTACTACACCATGTAGAATAAAATCTAAAAAGAACATTTTACTTGAAGCTCTGTTGCCAACATGAAGGAATTGAGTCTGTAAGTCCTTGAGTACATGTACATATAACATAAGACTTAGACTTCATAATTTGTGGTAAGGTTAAAATCTCAGATATATCAACATTGCTGCTGAGAAAACTTTGTGTAAAACCATCTAACACATAAACTCTAAAACAAAAAACACAGGTCATTACTTAAAATTCTTTAAAATATATATTCATAAATACCATACAGAGGAAAATCTTAAAATTTATGAATCAAATAAGATTGATTCGTAAACTTTTACAATTTTTTTTTTTTAAGTTCTGAAAACAATATATAATCTGCTCTGACTGTTTTCATTTTAAATTAGTTTAAAAATAATAACTAAATTTGATTGGTATATAAAAATTTGAAACATAAAATTTTTTAAAAGATCAAGTTCAATAAAAGAAAGGAATCAAAGTATTAAAACTTTGATCAAAACATCATAAGTTCTCAAAATTTCAGTATAAATAAAATAAAAATTTAATAATTTGTTTTCAAACTGGCCACGGTTATTGCTTTTGTTTTCCAACTGGACACAGTTATTGTTTTCAAGCTGACTACGCTCATTGTTTTTATCTTTTATCTGTTTCTTCCATAAACTCCTAAACCAATTTTTATTTTTTTTTTTTAATTATCTTCGCTTCCAACAAGGTTGCAAGCAACCACTAATTAGTGTTGGAAGTTACTGGAAGAAAAAAGATGAAGATTGTAGAGCAAGATAACGATTGACAGACGACTTAAAATATTGCAAATTATATGAATCAGGAAAGCAAGATGAAGGAAGCGAATTCCAAAGAACTGATGTTTGAGGAAAAAAACTAGACGAATAAGAGTTTTTGGAGCACTTAGGAACAGTAACAGAAAAAGAATGAGACTTAATTGAATGACGAGTAACACGAGAATGAATTTTGGTAGATGGCACAAGAGACGCTAGCTCTTTAGAGCAGTGCCCATTATAGTATTTGTAGAAAAGAGAAAGAGAAGCAACATTACGACGATGTGACAGAGGTTGAAGGTTGGCTGCAAGCGCAGGTCCAACTATGTTTACAATGCGTTTTTGCACCTTGTCTAAAAGAGAAAGGGCATCATTAGAAGATCTGCCCCAGATATGGCAACAGTATTCCATACAAGGCCAGATTTGAGATTTATAGAGATAGAGAATAGAATCCAGAGTAAGAAAGTGGCAAGCTCGATAAAGAGAAGCAACTTTAGCAGATACTAATTTTGCAACAGATTTGATATAAGGTTTCCAAGAAAGATCAGAAGTAAGAGTTAATCCTAGAAGATGAAGGGTAGGAGACTCATCGAGTACATTACCGTTCATAAATATAGGAAGGTCTAAATTATTGCGATAACGATTGGCCAAAAAAAATTGAGTTTTATCTGAATTAAAGTTCACCAGCCACTGCGAGCCCCACGCTGTAGCAGAAGTGAGATCCTTTTCGAGCTCTGATGCCCCCTGCAAGCAATCAGAGGGAGTTGGCTTCTTATCATGACAAGAATAAATGGTAGTATCATCAGCGAACAATGCCACCTTA